ATATATATATATATCATAATAGTTATGTAATCATCAGGTGGCATCCTTTGGGCTGTCAAGTGCTAGGGTAATTACTTATTTGTGGTAAATCTCTTTAAGTTTAACAAGATTTAACACATTGAAAATAATTTCTCAGACTTATTAATAAATTCTGTACTAGATGTGTATGGGGTAATCTGATAATTTTTTCCTCTCATTTTAAGAATAACAGTACTTGTTGTCTTTATGTTCTGACTCAATATCTTTGTACTTAGAAATATATTGGATTAAAAACTTTTAATACATCTAGTACAAAACACTGATAGGGTAATTGGATAATGATAATTAAGGATTTATGAAAAAGCAAAAACCATTGATAAAATAGTGTATATGTGTGTTATTAATGATATCATTCTGTAGTACGACATGGACATCGCTAGGTCCACAAGTATATCTAAAAAAGTATAACTAATTAGCTATGCTAATGGCCAGATTGATTTTTGGTTTCGCTCCAGATATATAGCTTACTTTGATCGGAAGTTTTCATCATGAGTCCGCTTCTATTAGCTCAATGATATTCCCAGTGAATGAAACGCCCAGTATCTTCTTTGAGATCTATAGATGGTTTATGAACAACTTGTAGCATTGTTATGAAACTACCACAACTGCATATAACAAGCGTATTCAATTTGTCTATTGCATCTTTATACAGTAATTGGATATAAAAGGAGTAATCTCTGAGTTTACTGCACTAATAAATTTATATGTATATATTTCTGTATAATGAAATGAACACAAGGTTTATAGCAGGTAAATCTTCCTAATTGATGACAGTTGTGTCCTCTGAGCTTACTATAGTTATATGTAGCTGATGTATCTGTATTTCTTTATAATGAAATTAACACAAGGTATATACAGGTGCATCCTCCTGGTTGTTCATAATTGTATCATACCTCTACTTAATAACGTGGCGACTGTTTGGAAGGAAAAGGTTAGAGCTTTATGAAGAAAACGATCTTAGTTCTCCCGCTGCCATGGGTGCCGTCCCGAAAGAAGAAGAGAAAAAGTTAGATTCAGAGCAAAATTCTAATCATTTAGAAAAGGTATTTTACATCGGTTTATTCAACGATTGTTAAACTATGCATTACAACATTTTTAATCTTCTGTTTATGGTTAGTTTTTGTGTGTTGTAGTATTGATATATTTCAGTAATTGTATAAAAGCTTTAAAACAGATAGTTTGCCTTTACATAAAAATACTTTTTTTTTTAACTTTCAAATTGTGTAAAGTCAAATTGTTTGCGTTATTGGTGATTTTTATTCAAGAAGTAATTAAGGTGAAAAGGTTCTCATTCAGTTAACGAATATTTAAATATTGAAAATATGTATCCATATTTAAAAATAAACAGTTTTTCAAACCAGAATATAACTGAATATAACGATTTTTTTTTTACTTTATAATATACATATGTATCTACTCTCCATTGATTTGAAGCCTTAGTGTATCGATATTTTTTATATATTATTGGCTATTGCTTGCTGACCGATATCAGAGTTTTCTATGAATAATATACAAAATAATGAATTGCTCAATACTAATTGGTTTGCAGAGTCAGGACGAAATCTTCTTTTATGGAGTGAACACTTCAGAAGAGACTCTGGTTCTGAAGGTTTCCAGGCTTCCAGGAAAGAGGCTAGAAATTATGATATATCTCCAACTGAAAGACGGGCGGACTTTCGTCCAGCCTCATGGGATGTCAGTTGTTCATTACACTGGAGAGCTGGAAGGTTTTGATGGAGGTGGGCTAAAATTACGTTGTCTGAGTGCCATGCGCATATGGAGAATATCTTTCAGTGGTTTATTGAGGTAAAGCATTTTGTTTGTTTGTTTGTTTGTCTTGTAGAATTTCGCGTAAACCTATATGCGATGTCTGTCCCTAATTTAGAAGCCATAGACTAGAGGAAAGGCAGTTAATCAATACCACTTACCGCTAATTCTTTGTCCACGAAAAGCGGAATTGATCGTAACATTAGTACGCTCCCTCGGCTGAAAGGGCAAGCTTATTCGTTAACGTGATTCGAACCCGCGACTCGCAAGTCGCTATGTCTGACCCAATGTTTTTACATTAAGGTTTAGTAAGATTGTTATCAAATCTTGTTGTACCGTCTTGGAGTTTATTAAATCAACTTCTGGTCCTGCAATAGAGTTATGTTTATAAGGTAAAGACAGAAATGCTAAACATTTCGGAATAAAAAAAAAAGGAGAAGTTTATGTAAAAATTGATAAAAATAAATAATAGAAACAGAGTAACCAAATACTGACACCAACCCCCCCCCCCCCCCC